TTGTGTGTGTGTGTGTGTGCTTTCCTCCTCTTAATTTTATTAAAGTGATTAGTGGGAGAAACAAAGGTTGGAGGGGCTGCTGCTTTACTAGTTTTTGTTTACTTACAATCAAGTTTTTCCTGTTTGGAGCAGGTGCGAAAGGATGAGAAGCATGTTGTGTTGGGTTTTTTTCTCCCCCTCCCCCCCCCAAACTATTACAGACAATTAACAGTAAACGTTATCTCCAAGGCTGTTTCTTTGGCTTGTGTTACCAAAAAGCCGATCTGTTTGTTACAGCTGCTAGGAGGCTTTAGTTTACAGTAGCATTCAAGTTTTTCCTGTTTTGAACAGGTTATGAAGGAAGAATGGAGTTTCCAGACCATAGCCGCCAGTTGCTGCAGTGTCTGAGTCAGCAGCGTCACCAGGGCTTCCTGTGTGACTGTACTGTTTTAGTTGGAGAAGCTCAATTCAGAGCTCACAGAGCCGTTCTTGCCTCTTGCAGTATGTACTTCCATCTTTTCTACAGGGACCAGTTAGACAAAAGGGATATTGTGCATCTGAACAGTGACATTGTCACAGCCCCTGCCTTCAGCCTGCTGCTCGAATTCATGTACGAGGGAAAGCTGGAATTCAACAGTCTCCCGGTCGAAGATGTGCTGGCTGCGGCTAGCTACCTTCACATGTATGACATTGTGAAAGTCTGCAAGGGCAAGTTGAAAGATAAAGAATTATGTTCGGAAGAGAAGATTAATGATGAGACGGCTGGTTTGGAGAAAGCGGAGCATTTTCTAGACGCCGGAGTGCCCCTGGTCCACGAGTTTGACCCAGGAAACAAACAAAAATTCAGCGTTGCAGAATACGAGAGAGCAGCAGGCAAAGAAAAGGTCAGCAGTCACCCCGCCTGGTCCTCTGATCATATAAGTGTCAGCTCTGTGCCGACGGAGGCAGAACCGTGCGCCGCAGCAGCTGGAAAAACAAAGGCTAATGTCAATAGTTCCACAGGACCTTTGTCCCAAAGGTCTGTTAACCATCCCCTGGCTTCGAGTGATGTGGACTGCGCGCTGGATTTGTCTTTCAAGCCCGTGCCGGGGAGAGATTCCTTACACCCCTCCTATGTCTTTGGACAGCTGGCTTCCGACAGCCAGCAGCAGGGTACCGAGCCACTTGTTAAAGATGAACAAGACTTGCTGTCAGATCAGGAGGACAGCGAAGCCAGGAGTCCGGAGAGTCAGCATTTTGGGAATTCAGCCAAAAGCCTAGTGACAGGGTTAGGACACATGTTCGCGGGGAATGGCAGCTCTCATGCCCGAGAGGAGGATATAGATCAAGAGCGAGACGAGAGCGAGGATGACATGGATTCGTCGGACATCTCCTCGGGCGTCCTCGTGCCTCCCGGGCATATCTGCATTTGTCCCCTCTGTAGCAAGGTGTTCCCGAGCCCCCACATCCTTCAGCTGCACCTGAGCTCTCACTTCCGCGACAAGGACGGCTCCCGGACCCGCCTGTCCCCTGACGGGTCCGTCCCCACTTGTACCCTCTGCGGAAAGACTTTTTCTTGCATGTACACGTTAAAGAGGCACGAGAGGACTCACTCGGGGGAGAAACCCTACACCTGCGGCCAGTGCGGGAAGAGCTTCCAGTATTCCCACAACCTCAGCCGCCACGCGGTGGTTCACACCCGGGAGAAACCCCACGGGTGCAAGTGGTGCGAGAGACGGTTCACACAGTCTGGGGATTTGTACAGACACATCCGCAAATTTCATTGTGGCCTTGTGAAATCCTTGGTTGTTTGAGATGCATGATTTCTTTCTTTTTCTTTTTTTTTTTTTTTTAAATCCCCATCCCGCAACCCTTTTAAAACAGGAAGAAAAGGCAGCATCTCAATTTTTTTAATTTCCCCCCCCCATCCTTCCTTTATTTTATTTGGGTGATGTTCACTTCAGGTGTATGATCTTTAAAAGATGCAGAGGTATACACTCCAGAGGCCTTTTAATGCAATCCTTCCACCTTTCCATCTCCCCCCATCCCCTGCTGCCCTCCCTTCCCAGCCCCGTCCTTTAGGTCTTCTCTTGCGCACCCATGTTACATTATTAATGTGAAATGATCTAAGTAATTCTGCAGTGATTTAGCATCTGTTTTCATGCTGGAAGTACTTGCTTCGTGGTCAGGTTTGGGTGGTTTTTGTTTGGTTTCTTTTTTTTTTTAGTTTCAAAAAAGATTATCAGCAAATTCCAGAGAAAAATTTGGATTCCATTAAGCTCCCCTAATGCTCTCTGTGTGTTGCGTAGAGACATCCAAAGAGACGATCTACGGTTTAAATACATTTCAGTGTAGAGAGACTTGTCTGCATATCGTGGAGTAAGTGGATGTACTCATTTTATCGAGCTAGATGAGACCTTAAATTGGCACAAATTGTGAAGGGGGTTGAGGATTCCTGGCTGCGCCTTTGGTACTGGTCATTTTTTATTCTCTTTATGATATTACAGTAGTTCTGCAGTTGGTCCCAAAATCTGAATGAGAAGTTTTTGCCTCGGGACTTGACTTAGATATTCCCTTCCCCCACCATCCTCCTCCACGAACTGACCTACTGAAAAGCTGCTTTTGAGCATAAAACGTGGATGGAAAAACTCTTTCTGTCTGCGGTGTATTCACTCCTGAAATACTGAAGGATGCACGCTTGGGCATGTGAAAAATCACATGATACGTGAATATGTTCATTCCCATATCGACACCCAGGGCCTGATCCTGCCCCCCTGAAGCAGCTAAATAACCCCTCTCCATACCAGGCTGCTGGGATGTCTCGGTTGAAGGTCGCTCATCCCACGTGTGTCAGGAGATGCCCTGCTATCTTGTCTGGAGAGTTTGCTGCTCTGCTAAAACCAGCAGCTGAAAGTTCTGTTCTATTGTATTTTTTTTTTTTACAAAGTTGGTGATTCCCTCTTGGCCAAATTCTGTGCAATCGCTGGTATTTCAAAGGGGCAGTATGGAGATAAACTGCTGGAGGGGAAACATGGCCCAACTTCTTCTCCCATGTCCCGCCTTTTCAGGAGGGGTGTTTGGGGTGTTTTTAGGTGTGGTGTTTCTTTTATATATTTTATTTTGTTTGTAAACTGGGGCTGCCTGTAACTATAACCAGTTTTACTCCAAGTAACTCAATTCCTTGCTTAATAGAGCATCCTTTGGTCTGTGCATGTTGGTAAATATCAGATTATTCCCTTCCAGTCCAAGTGCCCATTCAAGGTACATGTACACAGGACTGAAATACAATAATAATAATATTTGAGGGTTTTGAATGTTTTTCTGCTGTGTTAACGTTGCTTCACCAGCTTTCCTGACACTCCTGGAGTTCTTTTGTAAAACTTAAGTGTTTATTTTTAAATTAATTTGAAGCACTGAGTTAGATTATTTTTAAAAGTTGTGCTTAAAATACTGTTTTTCAACTTATGAAAAAAAAATTTCCCAATGCCTTCCCCCTCTGGTCCAGAACCTGAGCACTACCTACATCAATAATATGGGAATGATTTTTTTACTTTTAAAAATAAGTACTTCCTCTTTTAAAGAAAATCAGGATATACTTGTTACATCCTCCTTTTATTATTCATCTCTTAAACTATGAATGTACATGTAATGTGAAATTTTGCTTCTATTTATAGTTTTGGGTTTTGTTTTCAGTCTAACTTCTTGACTGTAAAATATTTTTGCTGAACCTGTTACATATGGAAGTTGTGGGAGAGTACTGTATCTTGAACATAAGTGGCTTTGGTACTGTGGTCTTATTCTACTTAATCAGTTTTTTTTTATTCTTTGTTTTTATTTCCTTTTTGCTGTGATTGGAAATAGCACTGAACAAAATCTACTAAAAATAAGTTATTTTTCTTTCTACTAAAATTAAGTTATTTTTTTCTCCTGAAGATACTTGATATAGTATTTATTAGATTTTTTTTTGAAGTGGAATTATTACTGTTAATCTGTTTCAAAACTAGTAAATTTACACTTCACTTTAAATTTAATAACAATGGTTTTGCATGTTGAACAACATGTAAGGAGTTTAACGTAGAGTCAGCATTACTGAAGCTGATAATCTTAATTTTGCATTCTTGTGACACTTTGTTTTGCGTTTCAGTCTTCGGTTACTGTTTCCTTTTTTTAGAAGATCATAAAATAGTATGTGCCATAAGAACATCATTAGCGTATGGAGCAGGGAAAAGTTTAAACAAGTTTGTGTCTGATCTTAGTATAGAAATAATTCATTAAACTGAAGCTATGAGCATGCTCTGTACTGCAGTGAATATGGGGCCGAAGGTTTTTTTTAAAAAAAAAAAAAGAAAAAAAAGACTTTCTCATTCTTTATTACATCATGAACACGCTGTTCTCAGAGTCTGGTATTTGTGTTCCCACTCCTCATAGCTTGAATTTCTAAAGTAAAAAAAAAAAATGTTTGCACTTATTTTTGTTCTTAAGGTGACTTTTTTTGGCTATCTCTGTGTGTCTCTTATTTTTAAGTTGCAATAGCTCGGAGCATGTTTTCAGAATGGTTCATGGCTCTACGGAGAAGTACTAAAAACATTGCACACTTACGCTCGTCTCTTCATAAACTGTTTCACTGTGGGGCGGTCACTGTCTCTGCGGGGGACAGTCCTGCTCCGCATTTTAAACACTGGATTTGTCTTCTACTATAAACAAATACTGTGAAGTTAATGTAAAAAAAAAAAAAAATCATTGATATTTTTAATTGTTTTTAATCTTGGTGCAGTTCAGATTAAATATGTATATTTAAAGACACTAATTTTTGTGGGAGAGTTTTATAGTATACAGTATGTAGAAAAGCTATTGGAATGGAATATATTTTATAAAAACGTTCTATCACTGTTTTATAGTGAACTATTTTTTCTTCAGTGTTAGTGTAATACTGTTAGTCTAGATATGACAATCGCAGGAAGAGTGATTCAAGCTACTGTTAGCGCTTAGTTTTGCGTGGAGTTCTGTATGCAACTGTATTGGTATGTGCTGTACAATGTGACAATCGTGACTAGGATTGTTGTCTTTATAAATTTACACAAAATAAAAAGTGCTAGAGTTGTATGCTTGAGCCTTCTCCTCACCCCTTAAGGGGAAAGGGTGTGGTGTTTGGGGTTTTTATTATTATTTGTTAATACAATTTTTAAAATTAGTCTTAATTATTAATATTTTACAGGTGGTTGTGCTGCCTTTTGTAAATTATCATTATATACTCTTATAATTTCTTTGCTTTTTCAGGGTGATGTGGATTTTCAGGCATGTGAGGAGCTGCCGTGTCTCAGTCAGAGCCTGACCGAGCGTTTCCTTAGTCATTGGGCAGGACTGAAACCAGCACCACTTCTGCATTTTAACCGGTGTCAGGCAGGTTTGAAGGGGCTCTGATCTCCTGCCTATGCCCCGAGTGAGCTGCGGACCAGCCCTGCCCTGAGTGATGCTGCTTTACAGCCATGGGCGGGTGCCGGGGACCGGATGATGAGCCTGCGGATGCAGAAGTGACGCAGTGGCAAGGACAGCCTGGCAAAGGGCACTGGTGCCCGACGGCATCTCAACTCCATTGGGCTGACCGAAGCCACCTTGGTTAACTTGTGTGGAGGGGTTCTCCTAAGTGCTGAATCTCCCCCAGGCTTGGGAGAGCTGAGGTCTGACCCAGCTCCCACTAGCATCCCTTAAAACTTTGGTTGATTTAGCAGGAGCTGGGATTAGGGGGAAGAAGGCGTGTGCTGCCCATGTCACCTGTGGCTCAGGGGAGGAAAGAGAGACGGTGGGTAGGTTTGCACCTGTACTGTGCGCACTGCGTTGTGTATTTCTTAATTATTTGGAGACGAAGGATCCTGGCAGAATTAGGCTGCCTTGAAATGGTGCTGGTTGAGGGATGGGCAAATTACAGTTAATGCTGGTGTGGAGGCACAGCTCTCTCTCCCCTCCTGCTATTTCGTAGCCACTTCTTCGCAATCATCCCAAAATAGGTATTTCTTGCCTTCAAGCATTGTATCCTGCCTTGCAGAGCCTGTGCCTCCATCCCCATCCGCGGGGAGGGCAGAAAGCTGCTGGAGATGCGCGGCAGTCCTGCTTCTATGTGTGAAATATTATTATATTTTCTTAAATTTCGACCATAGCGGGGTGGGTGTCCCTGCACCTGCTTATTTGTGGCACTCTGTTTTCACTCTTTTCTGCTGTTGTGGATGTATGGAGGAAGATTCAAAAGTGGTTTATCCCTCCCTGTCCCCCCAAAATTAAGTAAATGTGTCCAAGTCTGGGTGCTGTGCTAGGGAAGGGGGAGGCAAAAGGCTTTTCTTTGAAGGAGAGGGCACTCAGAAAGAAGTGAGCTTGAAGCTAAACCTGGGAGGTGGATGGCTTGCGAGCAGGCTATAAATAACCGTGAGTAGATTGAGGAGAGCAGCCCACATCTACTCTGGCATGGGCATGCTGTGCCCATTTTCTTTGTTGATAGCAATTGCTAATGTGAATTCTGGCACTCCAATCCCGATGCCTGTTGTTCTGATAACATAATTAAATCTTAGGAATGTGAAATATAAAAAGCTTTGAGAAGAAACCAGGCCACAAAGCGGATACTGGAAAGGGGGGGTGGGGTGCATATGTACCAAATAAGAATTGGGATTCATCTGGGCAGGGTTCCCTGCCTGCCAGCCTGTGGGTACACTGGGAGTGATCCTGCCCTTCCCTATGGGAAAGGGGGTGACCCCCAGGAACATCTGTTTTCCTAACCCTGGGCTGCAAGGGCTCTCATCTTCTAGGATTGCAGCACGTAACAGGC